TGATTACAACATAATGATTGATCACATAATTTTATTATTATGTACCTACTTTGTTTAGTGTTTAAGTACTTTGTTTTTAAACCTCTCGAATTTATCTATTCAGTCATTACAATGTTTTCTTTTCCTTCATTCCTAATGAGTTTGTTGATTTGACTTTGCACCCAGGAATATGATTACCTTCCTATGTAGTTTTAATTACATTCAATATTTTTTATCATTAATAGTAGGTACTTACCTATATTTTCACGGATTCCGTGAGTTTACTGTTCACTAAGAACTCACTCTACTGACAATATCCTCTTTTTCGTCTTGCTACCAAGACCAAGACAAGACCAAGACTAGTCTTGTGGTCTCGCGAAGCCCTATTCTGAACTCCTCACTCTCACTCGTCAAAAATTATGAGATCAGAGAGAGAGAGTTCATTGGAGAATTTCCAAGTCCTGGATCATTTAGTCAATATTTGGACTACAAAGTGTTATGTCTAACACCTCCTGTCTGACCCTAGAAACAAATGTTGGTCTATTCCCCACATTTAGTATATTTAGATTTGTTTGAAAGATAAATTCTAACAGTTACTCACCTCTTAGATTTGTGTCGGTACTTCCCCAGATGGTGTTGTGAGCGTTGGCGTCACAGCCGATTAGGAGCGGCAGTTTGCTCTTGTTACAGTACTTGACTAGTCTCTATACTTCTTCTGGTGGTGCTTGCTCTCCAGCGGAGCAACCTGATAGCAATACTAGGTCGCCGTGTGGTTGATCGGTGATAAGATTTACCCGAACAGTGACCAAGTCCCGCGACGTAAATTCTGAAAAACATAAATGAATAATGTTCTCTTTCAGGAGAATCCATGCTCTATGCTCGTTACACTGTCCCAGATTAATTTTGCCCCTTTACTTGGTAGACCTCTGATCTGCCCCTTATATATCCAAGGCTCTTGGATTAATACGGCCCCCAAGTGTGCCGACGTGAACAACCGCGTTATGGCAGCAGATGCTCCCCTAGCGGGATATGTGTTCACTTGGGCTATTTTGGTGTAATTCGCCATCTCACCTGTTATTATTGTCTCTCTTCTGTTTCGAGTATTGTCCTCCTATTCGCCCAGAAACATATTTTCTTCTGAATTTCCTCTACCGAAGTGAGAGTCTTTTCCCTTTATTCTTTTCTGCCTTCTTCTTCTGAAAGAGTGTCGGGTTTGGACCCTGAGGAGGTGGGCTCCTATGGGTCCTACCTGTTTCATCTTTTTCTTTTCTCTTCTTGAGGCCATGTACGGGGATTTTCCTGAACCTGTAGAAGATGCTGTGACTCATCTTTTTGATGATTTCATAGTATCCATCGTCTAAGCCGATGTTCAGTAGCTGGTCGTTACCTTCTTCCCTGCTGCTTAGTCTGCCACAGCTGGGTACTAAGCCCTTCATTCTGTGTGTTCACTAGCTGAGGTTTTTTTGGGGTCTTGCCCTTTGCTTCTTGGAAAGAAGACTGTGATAGTGTGCGCTTTTGGGATATCGTCTCCCACACACATCATCAGCTCTCCTCCCTATCAGGTTTCCAACCTGGAGACGTGGTGGTTATTAGCCATTCCACTGTTTCCGTGGTGAGGCAACCAATCACCAGCATACTTGGGCGGAAATGTATGCCCCCAAATTGGAGTTTATGCTCCGCACATTTCGTCATTCGGCTTATATGGCTGTTTTCCGGGGTCAGTCTTTCTTTGTTGGGGTTTCTCCCCTGTGGGTGTGGTACCCTTTTTATGTTTTACAGAGCCCTCTTTTCTTTGAGGTGATTTCGGAGGATCTATCATGCTGCATTCGGGCAGGGATTGGCTTAGCGGTATCATCCCGCTTCTCTTGATTTGTTTTTTTTTTCAAATTCATATCCATGTTATTTCCACGAATAGCTAGGGAAATAAAGGTCGGTCACGTCGGACATTTGACATATCCTAAGCCTATTTGATAATAGTTTTCTACGGTGTCGATTTTGGCATTCTCATTATTGTTGGTATTGTAGACTTTATCGTTTATCATTCAGGATACAAATGTGAGTAGGATATTGATATATCCTGTTCTTGATTCCGTATTCCGTCAATATTTTTGTTATAATTGAAGTTTACTCATGTTTTTCTTCAATATATCGACAGCCTTGTGATGAAATGTACTAGAATTTCATTCTCTAATTCACCAAAAACCGCTCTCAGAAAATCTATTAAAAATATACAGTACTGAACATATAAATTATATCATTTATTAATTGGTATCATGCGTATATGTTCAATAAATGCATCATAGCGACGCAAAAAAGCTTCATAACGATTCTGCAAATCGTTGAAGATATTTATAAAGAGTGGTTGCTGAAATTTTTCTGAAACTTGTTTCAAACTTTAGCCTTTATTCCTTCTAAATCCGTATGCTCTACTAAGAAAACTGTTTCTTAAGTTAAAAGATACATAATGACAAAAATTTTAACCTTAACTTAATGTCAACCTCATAACTAATCCCAAGTAAGCGAAATATGATAAATGAAACTTGCGTGCGCAATTACTCAGAGCTCTAGATTTCGGTACTGTTTATTTTGGCGGATACCGTTTTTGCTATTATTCTCCTGCTATTTGTAATACTATGTGAGTCTGCGGCCGTCCAATGATTAATGATTTGCCCATAGCTTCTGGTACTAAACTCTTTCGACAAGCTGTAATTTTTTTTTCTGCTACCTTTATTAGTTAGTCACACTAGCGAATTCTGTTGGCGTCTCAGCTCAGGCCAATGGAACTTTGTAGCCGGAAAACTTGGAAATCATGTTATTGTCGTCTTTTTTTTTGCAGCATTAATTGTTTTCTATTATGTGCATTTTTCAGGAATTATATTATAATTAATCATCTCAGGTATTATATAAACCCCTGAGATAAGATAAACTCTTAATATGTAGGGACTTATACGTGTCCAGGGGAGAATCTAATTGAATGATTGAATATTTCCTATGTCTACACATAAGTACCTAATGCCTTAATAAGTATAATTTCTCGGATATATGAAATAAATTGAAAGTCACCTTTTCATAATAATATATTTAGTTATTAATAATTATTGTTGTTTGCCTTTTTCGATTGTTTTATCCCTTAACATTAGACATATTTCACGAATATCAAATCCTTTATTATTGAATCTGGTTCCACATTTGCCTGGGTTTTCCTCAATGTCATTCATTTTGGAGCGACGAAATTTTTGCGGACTTCACTGCAATCTTCATGAAGAAACAGGATAATTACATCTACTCTGGGTGAGGACGCAGTGGAAGCACTAGTGGGAAGGGGGTGCCCACAGGAAGGCGTTTTATCACCATTGTATTGAGGGGTCCTGGTGGACGATCTCATGGCAAAAATGTCCAAGGAGAGATTCTACTGCTTCGGCTACGCGAATGATAATATAGTCGTGGTAGTCGGAGGCAGGCATCTAGAACATGTCTCAGAAAGAACTCAAAAAGCACTGAACATAGTAGATAACTGATGTAGGGATGAAGGCTTGTCGGTTAATCCGCAAAAAACCGTAATTGTCCCGTTCACAAAGAAAAGAGTATTAAGAGGACTTCGAAGTCCTAAGCTTAATGGAACGGAAATCCCCTTCTCAAAAGAGGTAAAATATCTACAAGTTATTTTTGACCGAAAGATGACCTGGGGTCCACACCTCAATAAATTTGTCCAGAAGGCTAAAATTTCCCTGGGGGTATGCAAAAGGCTTTGTGGAAAAAGCTGGGGACTTAATCCAAATTATAGTTATACAAAATGGTGATAAGACCAATGATAACCTATAGTTCGGTTGCCTGCATCACGGGGGCCATGAAAACAGCCCCAACCGCAGCCTTGGAGGTGCTGCTCAACCTGCCGCCACTATATATCTACATACAGGGCAGATTAAAGCAACGCCAGGGTCCATTTCTAAAACACCAAATGACCATGAGCTGGAAAATAGAGGGAGATCCAGAGGTCAGCTCATTGTTCGAGATGCCCTCAGACAAAATACTTAACACCGACGACTCCAAGACCAGCAAGGGGTTCGGAGCCGGCAACTACGGGGAGAGATCTAGGGTGGAAATATCCACAAGTCTCAGACAGTACGTCACGGTGATTCAGGTGGAAATCGCTGCAATAATGCACTGTGTTATACTGATAAGTGAAAGGATAGTTGAGAGTAAAAACATCGTTATTTACTCGGACAGCCAGGCGGCCCTAAAGATCTGCTTCAAGCTGGTTGGGGACTGTATACGTGCCATAGAGAAGGTGGGCCTGTCCAACAAACCTACCATAGTCTGGGTACCAGGCCATGAGAGCCACCCAGGAAATGAAAAGGCTGATGACTTAGCCAAAGGAGGCTCGGCCACTGAGATGATAGGCCCAGAATCATTCTGCGGAATTTCTGTAGGCAGTTTTTAAACATCTATCAAGAACTGGATAGACAGAGTGTTCCAGAGCTGGTAGCAGCGAACACCAGGACAACGGCAGGCAAAGCAGTTTATCAGATCCTGCTTGCCCAAGTTCACTGCAGACTTTCTAAGCCACAACCGCAGTTGCTGATTATGACTTTGTTACGTTAATAACAATAAAGTAGACTTAATATTTATTTAGTGAGCTTTCCAATTGAAAACCCAGAAAAAAAATACTTGAGAAGTAGTATTATTATTATTTATAATCCCTTAATAAATCATATGAAGTATCGGTACATAGGTACACCAAAAGCTAAGGGTGAGATAATTTCTAAAACAATATCGGCAGGTTCCAAAATCAACTGGTAATGACGTAATATTCTCTTTTTTGTCATTAGTGATTGTTTTCTTCACTATCGTTGCCCATTTATGTTAATACCAAAACATGAATAATAAACTTTTCCTTTAAAATATTAACCTACCTACCAGAAATTTCGAATACGTGAGACTAGAACTGTCGTAGTTTTTATCACTTCAGTTTATCAGTTCCTAATTAAGTACTTAAATAGATTTGTTTTTCAATACTTTTTATAGTATTTCCAAAAATGGGACTGTATACAGCTTCCATTACTTTGTGTGTTTTCTATCTAATACATTCTGGGGTATGTATATTACTTGATATCACTTTCATGCACTATATTTCTGATCTTTTATTAATTGATTAAATGTCTTTTGACCTATTTTTTTGCCCAATAATCTGGAATATTTAGTTATAATGAATAGAATTTATTAAATTTTTTGATTAGTTTGTATACAGGGTGTTCCACGGTGGATGGCGTATTAGACGTTTATAGAGAACTAAAAAGCGGATCATTTTGAAAATTTGGCAACCGGGATAAACGACCATAATCTACACTTTAAAAATATTTTTGTATATGCGGTGTTGCCGCTTCTACTCTAAACCAGTGGCAACATCGCTATTTTAAATGAAACACCCTGTATGTGATTGCATATTTGGATTCTACCTAAAATTCTGAGCAGATTTTATGTGATATACCCTATACCTAAGTTCAACTGTTTTGGAAATATTGACAGTTGAAAATTGACTTTTTGCAACTTTGACAGGCTGTAAAACCTAAACGCATAAACAAAAATATTTTTAAAGTGTAGATCACGGTCATTTATCCCGGTTGCCATATTTTCAAAATGATCCGCTTTTTAGTTCTCCATAAACGTCTAATACGCCATCCACCGTGGGACACCCTGTATTTAAAGGCAATTTACTTTACATAACTTAAAATTTTTGTTACAATAATTATTCCAGAATGATGATTCACGTTTCGTCCAATATCAGGCCATCCTAAGCTATCTAAAATACAATATCACGTAGTGTATACTACTTCTTCTACAAAGACCCACATTCAAAATACAGGAAATATGACGAAAGTGCTTATTTAAAATTATAAACTATCGAACTGTCAACACGAAAGATACTCATAAGTACCTACTAAAGATATGAACAAATCAATTTTTTAATTTCAAAATATATAGTTTCAACCAAAAGTTGTGCCACATAGACCTATAAACAGTTTTGTGAGATCATTCACTAACAATCTTACTTCTCACTAAACACATTTTAAAATTAACTAAGCATGCCTACGATAGTGGCGATTATTTAAAAAAAAATCTCTGGAATTTTCTCACTACTCCAGGATTTTCAAGTGCCACCTACTTATATTGTGATATAGGTACTTACTTACTTACTATGTTGTTTCTCACTAATTTACCTATTGATGAAAATAGTATGAAAATTAAATAAAATAAGAACTGTAGTACCACAAACCAACATTTTCAGGAAGATATGTATTTCAACATGAAATTAATATACGAATTCCGGAAGAAAATTGCAAAAAATTCACTTGATCGTATGTGGTAATACATGCGAAATTATCAACGAAAAGCCCCAACTGTTAATAGCTCATTATTCAATTAGTTTGTATTGATTTTGGTCACCAGCCAGATAACACAATACGCAACCAAAAATCACGAACACCTAGAGATATGGAAAGTGCTTAACATATTGTCACGCATTCCGCGGGTCCACTAAAAACTAACTTTACTAACAAAAACAGCTTCTATTGAAATAATTGAATAAAATTCACTTACCGCAACTTACCAACTACGCGCTTTATATACAAATCTAGCCAACCGAGAGATCTATAGAGTTCACACAAATTCTTGTTTATTTAAATCAAACAATGGGATTCCTAAATATTATCGCTCGGGTCGTTACAGTGGCGTCGGCTTCTCCGCACCAACGTTATTTCATAACACTTTCTCACTCTCAAACCAGATCATCGCGATGTGGTCATTTGTTCTCGTCATTAACCTTCACCCTGTCAAGATGCACCACCTTCTCTTCTACGTCTATACCTCCACTTAGATTCATAATCATTCTACCTGGCATTCTTCATCTTCATACTACCTATGCCTTCCAGAACCACATCTTTGGAAATACTGTTCTCTAGATCTACCTATGTTCTCATCGTAGTTGTAATCATCTTCATCACTTTAACTGTCATGGCATGTCAAATGAATGCCCTCTAGGATGCCTTCCAGTCCATCCAAGGATCAATTATTATTCCTAGTTGACTTCCATGCTGACGGCCGCCATGTCCGCGCCTGCGCCAACAGTGATAGCACTGTTTTATTTATTTATTTATTTATTAATAATTTGCCATTTACAGATTGATTCATATGCGATAACCTTGAAATTACTATGATAAAATTATTTTTTTTACTACTAACCTGAGAAATAGACATTATTCAATCTATTTTTCTAAGAAAAAGTTGAATTTCTCTACCTAGGTTAATAATGAAAATAATGAAAAATACCTAGGTCAATAATGAAAATGACGTCATGACTCAAGGATCTTGTCATGTTTCTATTGGTTCAATTTCAATTTCATGCGTCAATTTGAAAAAAAATACAGGTTTCTGTAGGTACATAGGAAGTTATATAAGCTGTTGATAGAGGGCACCACTTTCAAGAGGGCGTTCACAAAAAATAATTAGAACACAGATTTTAAACAAATTTTTTTATTTTCTACTAGCAGTAGTAAAAAAAAATCTATATATTCCTCGGTAGAGAAAGTCATTATATACCTCAAGCATTATAAACCTCGGCGCTGCGCGCCTCGGTTTATAAAAGCTTTTGGTATATAATGACCAACTTCTCTACCTAGGTATATAATATACTATTATTTTCTACTTATCTATTATAGATCCATAATACCTAGAAAACGAAATATGTTAACATACCTATAACAACCTGAGTGCATTATAAGCCTGGCGGACGTTAGTATCCATAACGCCCGCTTATAATACCCAGAGGTGTTTTTGTTGTTGTTGTTTTATTAATTTGCACTTTACCCTAGGCAGCCACTAAATGTCCAAGCGAAAATAATTTTTGGTCTGGCCAGGATTCGAACCCGGTCTACCATCAACGTTTCCCATATAGTCGAGCACGTTAACCCACACGATCACCGTTGCCTTGCCTTATGAGATGTTTATAGGCATATTAATTTATTCCGTTTCTAGGTACCGGTACATGTCAAAATACAAAACAATATTCTGTTATACAAGATTAACTGATTTTGTTTGATACTAAATTGATGAGAGAATATTGTGTTGAGTAGAAAATAAAATAAAGCATTGTATGCACCACGGTGATTTTTAGATTATAATGCCCTTCAGGCAAAATATATCCCTCGGGCCAGAGGCCCTCGGGCTAGTTTCGCCTTCGGGCATTATAATCTTCATAATCCCCTTGGTACATAAATAGCTATTACATCCCTTTCCAAAAAAGCTTACGCAATGGGGCAATCGCCTGTATTTATACTTATGGGTTTATTTATATACATAAAATGGAGAAAATTATATAAGCTGCCTTTTTGGCTAAACAGCCGTCGTCATGGTGGAGGGGTGGGTAAAGGCTCCTCGTCCGTTGGTCCTAGAGTAGGGCCTGGTGGATAACCTTGCATGTAGGTTGGTATGGCATCGTCTTACGCCAATGTGATTGGTTAGTTCCACTGCTCTTGTTGTGACAGCGAAAAAATTTCTTGTTCCCTCCAGCTGTGTCTCGAAGAGAGAAGTTGGAGGATCTTGTTGGCGCAGACTCGCTGGTTGGTCCAGTATTGGTCCCAGGTTATTCCCAGGGCCATCTTCGGCATCTTGGATTCGAGTCGAGCCGGTTTGGTTTGGTTGTAGTTGCCGGCGGAGCTCCAAACTAGATAGGCGTACATTATGGTGGGTAAATCCTCTGCTTCGAGGTGGCATCTAACCTAGAACATTTGGAGATAAACGGCTGCTAATGCTAAATGCTATTGGCAGCAACGCCAGCTTTTTATCGCACATTGGTGATGTACGAAGTAAGTTTTCGATTAACTTTCACTCCTAAGTATGTGAACTCCTCAGTTACCGCGATGATGGTTCCATTGATCCTTAGTGTGGGGGCCATTTTGTGGTTGAAATTGACCAGCTGTGTCTTGGACTAATTAATTTTGAGCTTCCACTTCTGCGTGCATGCTATTATGCTTTCTATATGATTTTGGACTTTGTTGGTCGATATTTCTGGTCTTCTTGAATTTGTGAAAATGGCGATGTCGTCTGCGTAAAGGGCTAGCTGGGTATCTTGCTCTTGGGGACGTCGTTTATGTAGACATTGCATAGTGTTGGAGCGAGGACACTGCCCTGGGAAAGTCCATGGTGGATCTCTCTCTTATCGGATGCTGAACCGTTAATGATTACTCTGAACGTTCTATTGGTTAAGTAGTTTGCGAGGATTTTGATGGTTCGTTGGTTGACTTCTGCCATGTATAGCTTTCCTCCACACTGTGTCATATGCCTTTCATGGTCCAGGAGAGCCATTGTAGTAGCTAGTTTCCTGTTGTTAGAGTCCATTGCGTGGTCTACAACTCTTGCGAGTTGGAGTGCAGTTGATCGGCCTTGCCTGAATCCAAATTGTTCGGGTATGATTTTACTGTTGCCTTCCAGATGCCCAGTTAACTTTTTGTTCATTAATCTTTCCAGAACTTCTCCCATGGTGTCCAGGAGGGAAATAGGACGGTAGTTTTCCGGCTTTATTGGGTTTTTGTTGGGTTTCTGGAAGACAATAATATTGGCATCCTTCCATTTGATGGGGAAGTAGTTTGTTTTCGGGCAAGCGTTGTAGATGTACGTGAGCTCCAAGTTCTACAATGGCTTTCCTGGAGGGGTGTTTTAGATCCTTTATCACAATTCCGTCTTCTCCTGGTGCTTTGAAGGGATTGGATCTTGCGATGATTCTAGCAATCTCTCTTGGGCTGGTGAGTGCTTCTGGTTCCAGATCTTCATCTTCTTCTGATTTTAGGTTCTCTTATAGTTGGTTCACGAGGTACTCAGTCCCGCCATCAGATAGGTTGGTAGTTAGTTCACTTGTGGCGATGTATTGGTCTGCTAGAGCATTTGTCTTCTCCTTGGTGCTGGTTATGGCTCTGGTGGTGTTTTTGTAAGTTATTTTCAGTTTTGGGATAATGATGGGGTTGGCTTTACGCTTGACACTCTTGATATGTTTCCATATATTGTTTGTTTCGTTTGCGGCCAGTGATCTTTTATTCCAGGCATCATTCTGATAGGAGTCCAGGAGTGCCCTAACCTGGTCGCATTGAAGTTGGTATTCAATTTTATTATCTATCCTTCTGGTTCTCTGGAATCTTTTCCTTAGGGCGTTTCTAATTTTATTCCCGTCCGGGATGGTGTCCTGTTTGGGGATATAGTCAGCTTCTGCTTTGCTTATAATGTTTGTTAGCTTTGTAACGGCCTCGTCAATTTCGTCTGTGTTGTTTCTGGATATTGTCATAATTATGTTAATCGTCCGTTTGTAGTTTGTCCAATCAGCGTTGGAGTAGATAAAATGTAGTTTTGGGGGTTTGAGGCTGGCGTCTTGGTTGATTTCGAACATTATTGGTAGGTAGTCGGAGGCCAGTTCTAATATGGTGGTTGCTGTGGCGAATATATCTTTCGTTATGGCAATATCCAGAGTGGCGTCTTGTCCGTGGCGTGGGGCAATCCTGTTGTAGGAATCTTGAGCAACAATCTGGTATGTGGATGTATCCAGGAGTCTCTGGAGGTCTCTTCCTGTTGTATTGTCAACCCGATTGTTCTAGTTAATGTGTGTCGAGCTCAGATCCCTGACCAGGATGCATTTTGGATGGATTTCCCGTGAGTTAAGAGGAGCGCTTGGTTTTTCGAAGGCGGCAACAACCTTAATGCCTTGGGTGAATATGGCCACTGATTCTATGTCTGCGGTATTGGTAATTGCTTCTTCAAAATCCAGGTTTTCGGCAATATAGATAGCTACTCCGCCGGCTGGATGGCGTGGGACTTGGTCTGGTCTGTTTCTATATAGACATTGGTATCCGGGAATTTTAGGCGGCGTCTTGTCCATGGCTCCATAATGCCATTGATATTTATTTGTAGTAGGTATTGTCAATTTATTTACCATAGGTTGACAATATTTTCAATAAGTCCATTTCTGACTTGGCTGTCTCCAGTCTGGTTCTTAGATTTCTCACTATTGATCAGTTCCTTGATGTTGAATTTTACATTCAGGTCCTTGATTTCCGCCATCAAGGTTTGGGAGTCAGAGTACTCTCCCTTGTCCTCTGCCGTGCTTTGTAGGTTTTTGGGTTGATTGTTTCGGGTGTATCCGGCGGCTACACGGCTATAGCTGACGCCGGGTTGGGTGGGTTTGCGTTCGAATGTTTCTGGCCTGGTTTTTTTCAAGGTATTTCCCAAGGGCGGGGCTGCATGGCTGCCATGACAGTTGGCGCATTTGAGCGGGACTTCGTCCTCGTTCATTCCTCTGCGTCGCCTGCATTCTGATACATGATGGGGGCGGCGCACTTCAGGCACTTTCTGGTGGTATGGCAATTTTGACACTGATGTCCAAAAGCTTGGCAGCGGTAGCATTGGGAATATTCATTTTTTTTTTTTTTGGAAGGTTTCCCATTTGATCATAGTATGGTCTACCCTTCTGATGCGTTTGATCTGGCCTATGTTGGCCTCTTTGTTGGCCGTAACAAGATGTAACAAGATAGGAATGGCTGCCGTTTCTGCCTTTCATGAGCAAACACTCTATTATGTGCTCGTTATTCTCTTTGAGAGCGGCTTTCACTTCGGTGGTGTCCATATCTGGGGGGCACTTGAAGACCACTTTCTTTTGTCTCTAATTTCTTGGAGAGAATGTATAATATTGGATGGTCAAAGTCCCTGCTTAGGAAGGAATTTAGAAGACTGTGGTCGTTTAAGTCTTCTGTGTAGATTTTGATGTTCTTAGGAGTGTTCCTTATTTGGTACGGGGACTAATTACGATTTTTTGATTTCGTTTTTAAAGAGTAGGAAACCAAATTTTGATGTGATGATAATGGGTAGAGGTTTAGACGGTGCTGTGGGGATGATGGGTGGCTGTGTTGTTTCCATGTCAACCGTATTTTGCTGCGAAACGATTTCTTGTTGGGGCGTTTGTTTGTGGGAATATGTTTGCGGCACCTTCTTCAACAGGATAGTTTCTTGGTCTGCTGGGCATGGGGCTACGGCTTCGGATGGCGTTGCGGCCACGAATGCGGCGGTGGGATCTTGGAGGGTTCAGTGGGGTGAGCTTAGAGCTTTCGTCACCGAGCTCCTTTTTGGTAATGGTTTTGTTAACATTGAATGGTGTCTTTTGGATATCGGTACTAGACCGGGCATAATTATCTGGGGAGCTCATGGGTCTTCAAACACAGGCCGAGCATAGCTAAGGTTTGAGTTGCAGAATGGGCTATAGATGTACAGACACATGCCTAGGCCTGGCCAGGGTAGATTGGGGTAAAACCAAGGGGTGGCTTTCCTTAGAATTAAACAGTATATTTACACTTAAAACAACACTATTGTAACTTAACACTATAATAAAACTTGACGCTATTGTCTGTTTCGGCTTAATTGCCTTAGGGTGGCACTTCATGGGGTTTTTCGAGCACCCTACTGGCTGACTTCCATAAATTGATCAAAAATCGATTGGGATTCGCAGAACTGCTAGCCTAATTGATTATTAACGACACTGATTTTCCGGCACATAACTTGGGTTTTTCCCGTACCTGGGATTGGTGGGCTTCGAGCTTCGAGGACCTGGGCTTGGTGGGCTTCGACTTCGTGAGGACCTGGGCTCGGTGACTTCGAACTTCGGAAGGACCTAAGCTTAGTGGGTTTCAGACTTCAGCCTTCTAGCTGTTCGAAAACTAATATTGACCTTCTGGATCTTCCTTCTCCCTTTAAGGGTCGGTTTCTCAATAGCGAGTCACCTTGGGGTTGGTTTCAACTCCGGGGTAAAGGTGTCCAGTTGCAATATTTACTCAGAGGTTATCCTTAATCCGAGGGTGACTTGCTATTGAGAATCCGGCCCTAAGCTAGTCGGAATTCCGTTTTTGTTCCGTGCCAGATCGAAAGCCTCTACCAAAAACCCTTTCAAGGTGATCAGTTCTGAGGCAGAGCTTTCATCGAACTTGCAATGGTCGCCCAGAAAAGGTGCGTTGCAGCATACCAGAACAATTATTTTGAAATCATACTATCGCATCTGCTCCATCAAATGCTAAAGACAGTAGCAGGAGAACGAAATCTCAACCGAACTCTTAGACTCTATCGTCACCTTTAAAAAGTCCTTTTGGTCTGCAGCGGGATCATTTGGTGCCCTCGTTCAAGTTCTCTTCATTGATTCTGGCATTGAAGTTCGCTCATTATTCTGTCTCCAATTTCTCCTACTGGTTTCTTTTCGTGTTTCATTGACACATATTTGGTTTGGCTGCTTGGATTTCTAGGACTTTGATCAGAGGTTTGCTGCTAGTTGATGAGTTGGTTATGAGTAATATGAGTTCTCTCGCATTTCTGCTTTCGCTTCTGGGTGGGCCAAATTAATCAGACGGCGGATATCGGTTTAAATTTCTTGTGAACTTTTGACGACTTCCTGTTGTCTTGTTCTTAACTGTACTTTTTAAAGCTGTCGTCGGAGTTAATCCTCATAACAAAGCACTAACGTGTCAACAAGTGCACCATATTTGTATTGAGGTTCGAGAAGCCCTATCGTTAGATCAAATTAATGCTCATTGTTGAAGGATCATTATTTGGCATTTCTAACCTGTGACTCTTATCACTATGTTTCAAGTGTTGATCTTTTTGAGTCTAACATAAAATATTGTTATTGTTACTGGTCGATCAATACGTACGACATGAGAGCGGTACATATGCTATCTCTGTGATTTTTCAACATTATTTACTTTTTTTTATACAGTTTTTACTTTTTTTCTAGTTTGCAACTGATCTTCTGGTCGATCTTCCTTATGGAACAATAAAGGGAAGAGAAGCAATATCTCCACGCAACACTACATTCCGAGCGTTTCAAAGTGTGCCATATGCAGCTGCACCGGTTGGGCCCCTCCGATTTCAGGTTTAAATTATCAATCTTTTAGTTGGTATTTCAATTGTTTTTATTTTTTTCTAGGCACCAGAGCCTCCAACAAACTGGACCGGTGTTAAAGACGCTACACAAGATACCTATACCTGCTTTTCGGTCAAAAAAGACAGCGATAGAGAAAATGAGGATTGTTTGTTGATTAATATTTTCACTCCAATTTTAGATAATGTAAGAGTAATGAGTTGTAAGGAAACGCTTCCTTACCATTCAACAATGTATATTTCAGGCTAGTAAAGATCAGCTACCAGTTATGCTTTGGATATATGGAGGAGCCTTTAGAACTGGTTCAGCTTTATATGAAAATTTTGGTCCAGAGTTCCTGATTGAAAAGGGCGTCGTCGTAGTAACGTTAAACTATAGATTAGGTTAACAATTGTGACTTTTAACAAAAAACAAAAAATAACAAGTTTCTTTTAGGTCCCTTTGGATTCCTGGCTACAGAAGACGGGCTAATTTCAGGCAATGCAGGTCTCAAAGACCAAGCGCAAGCCATTGACTGGGTACACAATCATATTTCTTTATTCGGTGGCAATCCCAAGAGAGTCGTTCTTTTTGGACAAAGTGCTGGTGGTGCTTCCGTTGGGTACCAACTTTTGTATAAGAAGAACGAAGGTAAGATATCACACAAGGCATGATTTTGGACTCCATTTTTACATCCAATCTTGACATTTGTGAATTTGAGATGTTTTCTTCCACTTTCAAAGATATCACTCAAGGTTGGTCTCCCGTAGTTTGATCAAAAGCAGGCACAAAAAATATATCTGATAGATAACCTCGTAGTTTCAATCTTAAGTTCCCTGCGTCTCCTTTCCGCACTATCACGAGAGAACTTCCTGAAGTTCCTCAATGCTAAATCCGCATGTTAACCTAATTCTTGTATATTCAAGGCAAAATTCATGGAGCAATCCTTCAAAGTGGCAGTCCTTTGAGCTCTTTCAGCTACATGGGTGACGTTAGTGCAAGAGCTTATGCCTTTGACTTGGCTTCTCAAATAGACGGCTCTGTTGATTTTAAGAATGACACTGGCTCACTAATAGCGTTTCTACAAAATAATGTAACTGGTAGACAAATTGATAAGGCTTCTACACTTACCACCGTTACTGTGAGTTCAAGTTTTAGATCACCATTAAAAATAAATAATAAAATTATTTTAGAGTCGACCTTTGCCAGTAATCGAACAGAATGTGAAAAATGCCTTTTTGTACAATGGATCATATGAGTATTTGCAAGCTGGAGATTTCCTTAAAATCCCAATAATGATAGGAGCAACTTCAGAAGAAGCAATTTATGGAACATCTGGTAAAATTAACACAAATAAAATATTAACTTTATATACTCAATAGAAACTATTTGATAGATATGGATGCCTTCAAAAGCAGTTTTGAAAAATACGAAAAGAAACACGAAAAATTTGTACCCACAAAAGGATTCCATTTGAAAGAGGGAATTTCCAATAAATTGGTTGGGGAAGAAATATATAATCTCTATTTCACTAATGTCTCTGCTGAAGAGCGATTGGGATACTTTGTCAGGGTAAGATACCTATAGTACCTATTAATTTAATTGAAATAATTTAACACGTTGATTTAGTGGAAAAGCGACAATAATTACATAAAGCCAATGATTAAACATGCAGACCTTTCCACAAAATTCACGGATGTTTACTTTTACATATTTTCCTATGATGGTATAATGGGCAATTGGAATATAACAGTACCAGGTAAAATGTCGATTTGTTTAGATTTCTAATTTGTCATGAAACTTAATTTTGTATGGTACCTAATGGTCTGACTTCAAATTTAAGTTCAGATATTTCTAGATAGACAAAATCTTTCAAACCTGAGAACCAATAATTGCAAAATTACAAACGGTTTGCAATAGACTTGAGCTGATCAAAATTGATTAAAATTGCATATTTTTTTCCTGTTCTTTAAAAAGTCTATAATTAATTTCTACTTTGAGGCTGCAGATGCAGCTCCATGATATTTTCAAAAGCTTCAAAACTTATAAATAAACTACTGATTTATTATCAATGTTCCTATTGTTACAATGTATTTTTTGTTAGGTGCTGGCTTAGTTGGTCATGGAGAAGACGATAGATACATCTGGAAAGTTAAGTCCAGCTCTTTTGATAATGGAGACTTATCCAAATTTCCAGAAGCTGATAGAATTACGCACGAGAGAATCATTACACTTTGGACTAACTTTGCCAAATATTTGTAAGTATATTTCAACAACATGTTTATTTATTTTCATACGACTATTAAATATTTTCACACATTTTATTCGTCCATAAAAATTCATGAGAATCCACATTTGAATGGAATTAGTTGGATCTATTTTTATTATAAAAAAAAACATGTTCATACATAAAATATTGTATCCAAAGCCTACGGTGCCATTTTTATAATCTTGTGAATGCGGAATTATTCCAATCGTGAAAAATTAACTTAGGTACTTCACATGTAAGTTGCATAAATCACTATAATTAACTATTGTTTTGACAGAAATCCGACCCCAGCAGCTTCCGATCTACTTCAAAACATCTCCTGGCCTAAGGTTGAGTCCGGCAACTTCCAATATCTCGATATCGACACCGATTTGGTCATCAGAAAAGATCCGAAAAGTCCTTATTATGCCACCTGGAGCCGTATTTACGATCAATACAATAAAAGACCATTTACAATCTTTTAAAAATAAATAAATAAATAATAAACAAAGTTTCACAATTTTTAGTGCGTTTTAATACCTTTGTCACTCGGTAAACTAATCCATTCACTTCATTTTCATAGAATGGGTGGCTGGATGCAAGTTTGAGGTTAACTTTATATGTCAACATGAAAACCAGATTGCCAAATGTTATTATTGTTGTTATTTTGTTCCATGGTAGGTCGTGACATTTATGTGTGAAGTTTGTATCTAGCCTTAGAATATTATACTTATGTCATCAAGTATGTCATGATTGTGTGTTATCGAATGTAATACCACAAGAGATTTCAGGATTACCGGATAATACTTTTACCTGCCACGAAACGCGTTACGCAGCAACACCACGACTCCGAAGGAGGAGTGGTGTTGCTGGTAACGCGTTGAGTGTCAGGTAAAAGTATTAGGTAATCCTGAAACATCGAGTGGTATTCAAAAGGTTATACAACGAACTAAACTTCAATTCTTTATTAATTTTTATTATTATTAATAACAATAATGCCACCAAGCGCGATAATCCCAAAAGGCTTATCACTTGTTAAGCCTCTCGTGTCATATGTGAATAATGTACAGGGTGGGCCAATTTGGACACTTTTAATAGGAAACATCAATTTCTGAGCGAGATATAAAAAAATGAACCCCCCACTCTGAGGCTCAAATTTCATGGAATTTTGATTGGTGCAAACCGCATTTTGATATCTTCAACCATTTAGCCGCTAGAGGGCGATTCTCGTTTTTGAGCAATAATGTGAATCCATCATAACTTTTTTGTTTATGAAAATTATTGATTTCCGTAAAAACTTTCTTGGAGCACTTTTTAAAGCGGAATTCAGTGACGTTCTCAGTTTTTTTCTAGTTGGTCCCAACGTCGAGATATTGATCAAAGTCTGGTTTTTTTCAATAGGACACCCTATACCGAGTGGGGCACGAAAAACTTTCCACCCAGGTTTTCTCAGGTGTTAGGTGTTTTATAAAAAATCGCTGACACGTCAATTTTTTGATTTTTGGGGGACACATTTTATTGGTATTTTCACCCCCCACCTGTGAACCCCTAAGTGGGGGTGACAGGTACCCACAAAATTTCAAATGAAAAGGGGGGTCGAGTGATACGTCATTTGATAGCTATTTTCATTAAGATTATATCCCCGAAGTTTCAAGTTGCTACTATTTACCCTGTCGAAATGGCGGCTTGTCAAAGTTAGGAAAAATCAATGGAAAAATGCTGTGTAGTTTTTACCTGTTACCTACGCATAGGTGTGACAGGTAAAAAATATACAGCTTAGATTATGGAAAAAAAGCTTTTATCTTAACTTTGACATGCCGCCATTTCGGCAGGGTTAATAGTAGCAACTTAAAACTACGGGGATATAATCTCAATAAAAATAGCTACCAAATGACATATCACTCGACCCCTCTTTCCATTTGAAATTTTGGGGGTAGCTGTTACCCCCACTTAGGAGTTCACAGGTAGGGGTCGAAATTACCAATAAAATGTGTCCCCCAAAAAACAAAAATTGACGTGTCTGAGCGATTTTCAATTAAACACCTAACACCTGAGAAAACCTGGGTGGAAAGTTTTTCGTGCCCCACCCGGTATATTAATAGCTCATTAGAAAGCTCTGCTTTTTCCGATTTCAATGATATAAAGTTCGATAGGTTTATCTCTAACAGTCTTCGAGAAAAAAAATATTTCGGTTTTTGTCATAAGAAACAATGTGTTGGAAAGAGACCTTTCTCAGTTTCCTTACAGATATAAAGTCCTTTTCTTACACATTGCCTCTTATGACAAAATCCGAAATAATTTTTTTTTCTCGAAAACTGTTAGAGATAAACCTATCGAACTTTATATCATCGAAATTAGAAAAAGCAGAGCTTTCTAATGAGCTATTAATATATACGATGTCTTATTGAAAAAAAACAGACTTTGGGCAATATCTCGACGTTGAGACCAACTAGAAGAAAACTGAGATCGTCACTGAATTCTGCTTGAAAAAGTACTTCAAGAAAGTTTTTACGGAAAACAATAATTTTCATAAACAAAAAAGTTATGATGGTTTCACATTATTGCTCAAAATCGTGAATCGCCCTCTAGCGGCTAAACGGTTTAAGATATCAAAATGCGGTTTGCACCAATCAAAATTTCATGAAATTTGAGCCTCAGAGTGAGGGGTTCATTTTTTTGTATCTCGCTCAGAAATTGATGTTTCCTATCAAAAGTGTCCAAATTGGCCCACCCTGTACAGTGAGTTAACCGTAGTAATAGAGTTTTTCATTTTCTGGTTGTCTCTAAAAGCGGTTGCGTAGTGCGTTTTCTTTGTGTCCTGCAATTCGAAATTTTTGAGTATTTTTTGGGAAAATTTTCGTGGAAATTGATCGGAAACATACTTGAGAGACAAAGCGGTTAACTTTCAGGTTAGTGTATCGAAGCTAAAAGGCCGGGAACACTTCGAAGAATAGGTTTTCGCGATTAAAAATATCCTGATTTTGGATGGCCCTTGAAGCTGTGTTGATGGCTAGGAAAGTGACGCAGACAAATGTGCGAAGGCAAAGGCGCGAATAGTGCTCACGATAGATTCGGCATTGTATTCACATGAGAGATGAAAATTTTGTCACAACCTCTCTGTGTAGATGGAGAGAAACTCGCTAAGTTTTACATAAAAAGGTGTATCCTTGCTAAGAAGTCATTACGTCATGAATCCTCCAGGATACATGCTCTTCCGTGGAAAGGGCCACACGTTTGGCGATACTTAGGAAGAAATGTCGGTTTAATGCTAATGTTACGTAGAATTTTAATCGTTGTTTAACTGATCCTCGTCTAGAGGGGCTTTCCCAGGGTGGCGGTACTTGCACCGGAAAGTCTTGATTCCAGAAGGGTATTCCCAGGGTGACGGTACTAACACTGGTTCAAGTCTGTCTGTTTCTCGGCTTGGCCCACTATTTATATGCATGCATTCATTGCTGAATTGCAATAAACATCCGATCGAATCGGAAATTAAATTAATAACGTTGAATACCGGGTCCTTCTTTCTTAACTAGCTAGTTTACATATGCCCCCCTCCATGAAGCATTAGACCCCCAATGCTTGGAGAGACATAAAAACAAAAACAAAAATACATAGAAATACCATAATAATGTCAAAAAATACAATTATATCCTAATCCTAAAATATCCCTTTTTTACAATAATATCCTATTTATAAAATATCCCTGCTTGACAATCATATAATCCAAATATCAAGTATAATGAAAAATTAGCAATTAAAATTAACAAAAGTTTTTTATGGTGGGATTGGTCAGGTTCATCAACTTTACAGCTTCAGCCATGGGTTTTTTTCTTTTGGTCCGGTGCAGTTTTCTATATTGAAATCATAACATATTGAGAATAATTGATTTTAACCATACATTAGGCACGTGGATTCTACTCTCGCGGTCAGGCGCGTGGAGTACAATGGTAGTCCATTTTATAGAATGCATACTTCACCTTGTCGGGTTGACCTGCCGTTGCTGGAGTAGAAATCCTGTACATACTTGATGGGGGCTTATTCAACCTAAACAGTTTACGAGCCAAGACGAAAATATCGACGATAATTGAACTTCAATATGCGGATGACAACGTCGTGATGGCCAATACAGAGATCTCCAGGCAACTATCAATGCATTCAACAGGCATACAGGAGAATCGGCCTAGAGGTCAACTTCAGCAAGACGCAGATTCTGCACCAACCCGTATCGGGCACTAATCCCCAAGCCCCAAATATAACTAACCATCAAAAAAGACCATTCGTTGCAGAACGTAGAACGCTACCCTTGGGGGCCATCTAGCAGCAAATGCAAAATGCAACCATTCACGCTGAAATCCAACATCGCTGCAATTGTGCTAGCGCATGAAGTGTTCGGGCGACTTTTAGAGAGAGTCTTCAACAACCATGACATCAGCGCTGAGACAAAACTTCGGGTCTACAATGCGGGTGTAATACCAACACTTACATATGGCTGCGAAACATGGACCACCTACAGAAGACACATAAAAAGCCTAGAAAAATACTACCAGCGATGTCTACGAAGAATCCTATGGATTAAATGACAAGACCGACGAACGAACATGAGTGTACTAAAGGAGGCCAGAACAACTAACATGGAAGCCCTCAACATTAAGCACGCCCGAAACACGTCTTTCACGACAGATTCTCTATAGTCAACTGAAAGAGGGAAAACGAAATCAAGGAGGTCAATAAAAATGCTACAAAGATGTTCTTGAGGAAAATATAGCAAAGTGCCACATCGATACCAGTGGCGGCTGGTTAGAGTACAAGTTGGTAGTGCACATTCCAAGAGGGAGGGGGGGGGAGCCAAAAGCACGCGACTTTTTTTTTGGATGCCACGCCCAAATTTTGATCTAAAAGTCGTCAAAAAAGCACGCCTTGGGTAATTTTTTAGTACCTATTTTTAATCGAACGTGCGCATTCTCCCTTTTTACAAAATAATAAATAAGGAGAAAACTTTCTGTGTTTTTATTATTTCTAAATCTAGAAGATGTATCCCAAAGTCTTCGAACTGAAGTCTGTCCTCCAGCGAATGGGTAGAGAAAGGTTTTATCAATAAATTCCTAATTTTATTCATTTTGTCTAATATGCCATTGCCACGTCCCCTGGGCCCCTTAGGGCCAGCCGCCACTGAATCGATACTAACAACTGGGAGACGACGGCACATGATAGGCCCTCATGGCGTCGAGTAGTCCACGACAGACCACAAATTTTTGAAGCACGGCGAAGCAGACACGTGACCGAAAAGAGAGACCGCAGGAAAGAGCAAGAGAACAGAGGAAGAGACAAAGCTGTCAGAGGCTGGGTGTGCCAATACTGTGGCAGACTGTGCGGCTCCAGAATTAGTTTATATAGATATCAGAAAACAAACAATCAACGACATTAAGAATAGAATAGGAGAGGTAATCATACTCGGTATCGAGTAATCGCCGATGATGATGATGATTCTCCGCCGAGAGGGCGGCTGCATATGATGCCCCACGG